GAAGAAAAAACCTTCCAACGCAACAGGAAGCCCTTTAGTAAAAGGTGCATTAATAGGGTAAAGCAAGCCAACAAAATGATTAATTTGCTTCTCTCCTTCAATATTATGTTTACACAACTTGATTATAGCACTTAATTACTAATTCACCCTGCTCAAAAACAAGAGTGCTTTAAATTTTTAATGAGACAAGGGAAAGCAACATTCCTTAACAGAGAGAAGTAATTTTATTTCCACTTTTGATTAACATTTCTAAGGGAAAAAGTATCCCCTCCCAGATCTTTCACTTGGTTCTTTCTTTTGAAAATATGGAAATCTGCAAGAACATTTATGCTAATGTCAGACCATAAGTAATGCTTTGGAAGAGGAATAGAGGATCAGATTTATAACACTGGTATCCTGGTCAAGAAGCAAAAACAGCGTAATCACGTCCAGTTCTCAGGTACCGAAACTATATACAGCTGTTTTTACAAAATGTTGTCCATTCAGCATCACCAATTTGTCTGTAACCTAGATTTTTAGACTATTTAGTGTACCTCCAATCCCTTTTATAGATACTATAAAGAAAAAGGTTTTTGCCCATCATTTTCTAAGATATATCAGCAAATTGCATAACAATAAAAGAGAACAAAGATTACACGTCCCTTAAAATTCAATTTTACTCCTGAAAAATCAAACAAGATCAACAGCAAATGCTGTCAAGATTGAGCACCATCAATGCCTGTCCAACGCCACACCTATCGCTAGGGTTCATCATTGGTATAACAATATCAAACCCTATCAAAACCCCCCAAAACACTTGTTCTCCCCAGGCACGCAGAGCTTTGCCTTGGAGACCCATCTTGCTCTGTGGAAACAGCGCTGACTATCAACACTGATGGTTTTTCACACTGACGGGCCTTGAGTAGTATTGGTTTCCTGACATTTCCCGCTGTTCAGAGGTAGAACAATCAAGACATAACAAACCTACACAAATAAAAAGGTGTAGAAATGACACACAAAAGAGAATCCAAGCTGCAAGAAGAAATCCAGATTTTCTCCCCTTTCAGGAGATTCTACAGATTAAATAACAAAAAGATGAAATGGGAAGTAACTCACATTATACTCCATGTCCTTTTTACTTTTTTGGATAGGCCAATTGCTTTTAATTCTCCTTTACTAGAGAGAATTAAAATGCAGAGAGGTTTAATAGAGAGGAAAATAGGGAAGTCAACATTCATGAAGGAACAACATATGGTGACCAGGCATGAGAGCTGGATGTTATACATCTTTCTTTGGTAGAATTACTTAGAGATGAAATTGCAGTTTCAAGGAGACTGAGCTTTTAAAAACACACTAGACTCTAGCAAACTAACCTGTAGGATTACAAATATTGCAGTAACCTTAATTTCCAACATTTTCCTGCAATGTTGGAAGTCCAGGATACTGAAAATTTTGTTTCTAATACAAATGCAGTCAATAAGGATTAGGAAAGTGTCTTTTACTTGAGAAATCACTCAAGATAAGAATAAAAAAGATATGAGAATTAAGAATTAGTAGAAAACAATGTATCCTGCAAACAGCCACTGCTGTACAACATATAGATTAGGTTGAAAGCTACTGCCCGTTTCTTTCTGAGAAGAAACTCATTCAGGTTTATGAAACTCTTTACTGTTCTGGTCTTTATGACCAATTTCCCAAGAAAGTGAAGAGTGAGAATCCTATGGTTTCATATGTACTTTGATCAGGTTCTCCACACAGGTTTGCAGGATAGTCAGCTTCCTGTCTGTGAAGCACACTACATGCCAGCTTCAAATCCCAGTTTCGGGATGCCACAAGATTGAAGATCAACACAGTATGACAGTAAGAGCACATCCAAACACACTATGCGTAAGGAAACACCAGCCCCTTCCAACATTTCCCAACCGTTAATCTAAACAGACTCTAATTACTATGTAAGGTTAACATATCTTTGGGTCTTCCCCTAGATGACTCATCTTTATTTGTCCTACTGAGAAGTGATGCCCTGAGAAGTGATGAGCAAGCCAGTGGTCACACTTAATGCACTTGATGCATATGATTTCCTGCACAGGTACAAGCAGAGCCCTGCTCAGGAGGCTCCCCAGCTCCTGGAGGCTCCAGCACACACACACTTCCCTGCTTGGTAGCACTGCTGCTGTGCCTTATCCCCACTGCATCTTACACGTCTTCTGAACAGCCAGTACTTCTGTAGAAGGGCAGGTTAGACCTGGACTAAGACCATTCGAAGAGATTCTGAGGGCTCTTGGTTTTGGGTGCTGTTTTTGAGCTTTGCTAAAGAGGCCTGAGTTCTAGAAAATGGAGAACTGCCAACCCATGAAAACCAAATCGCTTTTAAGCATTTTGACTTGACATTGAGAAGTGGAAATATCCAAAAAACATTCTGAGAAATGTGACCAAAATCACTGGGACAAATACAATAAAGATCCCTCTTCAAATAAACGGAGCCATGAGGTTATGGGTAAAACACAAACAAGGAAAACCCCCACAATTTTCTCCTTTGCTTTTAGACTGACCAAAGATCTTTAAAAGACACAATAAACAAGCACCAACCATCTACTGGAGAACGGATAGCTACTTCTTTTCTTTGCAAAAACTGCAATGATACCAGATATTTGCAGAACTTATAAGAAATGTCTTCTGGAAGATTTGTTAGAAAAATAAATATGACAGAGCTCTACTGAACTGCAGTGCAAGGTATATCTTTCCCTCCCTCCCTCCCAAAAATGACTTATACAGTTTCTTGATCTCATACAGCTGACTTATTTTAAAAATATTTTACAGAATCTATTGGCTTGCTACATGATACAAGTGCTATTGCCATAGGCGGTCTGCCTTGAACAAGAACCCCAGACTAGGTCTAAACCTCTAATGAGTGGTTCCTTTCCACTGCAGAAATGTTCCAGTGTCCAGGGTGGGATCAGATCTTCACCCAGCTCTCAGTGATCCCCACAGACAATCTGCTGGAAGGCAACATGGTACAAATGCCCAGACTCGTTTATAATACAAGAATCTTCAAAATAAGTTTCCCCTCTTCTTTTGCTGAGACACTGCAAGGAAGTATATGTGCTTGGTCTGTAGTCAATGACATGAAAGGAAACATTCCTGTTGACTAGCATAAAGCCTGGGTCTACAGGTAGCTGCTGAAGCAGAGGCTGCACTTGGCAAATCAGGCATCATATGCAGTGCTGGGGCACTGGTTTCAAATTTATATTCCTTCTTCTTTGTATACTTATATTAGCTTCTCTGGTTCAAGCAAAGATGGGAAGGGATCACAAGGAAACTTCAAATCCTGTTCCCGGCACTCACGGATAATCACTTAATGTAAGTTCAGCCCAGAAAGACCACAGAGCCTGCACTGTACTTAGGACCAGCCACAAAGCATTCCTATGTGCCAGGAATGAGGAACCTCCTGACACATCGCAACAGTAAAAGATCAAACACTCTTTAAAAATTAAAAAATTTCTGACACAACTGGCTCAAGGGACCTAGTTTCGCTGAAAAAGATTCCTGAAGGAGTATGCTGTTGCTGACCAATATGCATGTAGATGTGTACAAAATATATATCTGTTCTTGGATATGCTTCTGGTATGCTTTGGCATAGAAGGATAGAGATAAAAAATAAATGTAAATGAATACACTGAGTTAATATAAAAGCACGTTAGATAAAATTCTGAAGCAATAGATTTTTATAAGCATTATCAGGACAGACTTAATAAAAACAGTTTTGAGGTGCTCACTTATTACATAATAATGCAAAAAATCTTAAACTAGGAACAAAATATCTGCGTATCTGAAAGCTGAAGTTATGCACAAGATTAACGGAGGAATAAGAATTAAGCATGAAATCCTTTAACCAAAGGCTGCTACTGAAATCAATTGCATTCACCAAAAAGATGAAATTTTAGTTACAAGCGCTATAATTATTAAATGCAGATACATTACACTGTACAATGTTTATTGCAAAGGGAATACATTTAATGGAGGAATTCTAATGAAAGAAAACAACTCTTCCTGCTAATCTAGATTGCTTTGCAGAACATTCAAACTCCCTTTCACACTTGGAACATTTCCAGACATGGGCCAGTTGCTCAACTGATGTTCATTTGTTTATTGATTCCAATGGTATTGCATCAATTTAACCAGGCAGAGAGGCTTATCCGTTATACAGAAAGTAGATGCAGTTAAGTTTTAGTTCAAAATTTCAGCTACAAAAATCTGTGCCTAATGTTAGAGAGAAAAATACATCTACAGACCACCTTGAAAAATGGTTTTGTACAAATAGATTGCAATGCAGTGTCTAGTTCATACACGTAATGTGAGGAGAAGAAATGTCTTTTATTAGCCAAATTGACAGGTGGGAAAATAGGTAAGGTTTGGGGCATATAAGCCCTCCCTCAGGTCTATGTTTATTACTGTTGCTTACATAAATGCAACTAAGTCATGCTCTGGCTTATCCATAGAAGAAAAAAAGTCTTACCGCTTCTTTTAGAACTGTATTAAAAAAAAAACAAGAATAAACATTAAGTTTTGTTCTTATTAGTAACTCTTCACTCACCATGGGCCAAACAAGAGTTGTGTATCATTTTTTTTTTTACTGTGTAAATACTATGAGGTTGTTTCTTATGTCTAAGACTCCTCAGTGTGAAGGAAGCAAAGTAGGACAAGTATTACAACTAACATGAAAGTCTGACCTTGTTATCAGGACCTTCCCAAACTCCCTCATTCACATGTAAAATTACATGGTGTAATTTCTTAGGGAGCAGTTTATGCTTTCATGTCCCCACCATCACAAATGAATCTCCAACACACCTAGATAACATACAGAGATAAAAAAGGGATGGACAGGAGATAATGCATGTAATGTGGGTACTTGACTGACTGTGCACAGGCACCATTTTTTTTTCCATTTAAAGTCTGTGCATGGTGCCAAACTGCAAAGTGCAAAAAGCTATAAAACAGAAAGAAATTCAGGTACTTCATACCTGTATAGTTGCAAAATCCCCAGATGCACAAGCTCCAAGAATCGCAGCACCCACCAAAACAGACTCCACTTCTTTGGACAGGACGACCGGCTTGCCTAGAGAAGAGAAAAAAAATAGGTCTCTGTTAGGAATAATGAAGCAGTGCAGCACTAATGGCAGACTAAACAATTCTAAACAATTAAGGGAAAAAAAAAAAAAAGACTTGGAAACCAAGTTCACAACTCCACTCAGAACTACCCTTCTATTGTTGACTAATGCAAATCTCTCTGCTCTGAGGTTCCAGGCTCCAAGAAAAATGCAGAATTTAAATAAAATAATTTCAGCAAAATACTAATGCAGAACATTAAATGTACAAAGAAGAACCCTCCAGATCTCTGACAACAGCTATTTATCTCAAACAGCCTGATATAAACCTGTTACTCACACCCTACAAACCTACCTGCCTATTGAAAGGTGACCTGGGAGGGAAAAATAGGGTGTAACCTTTTGTTTCTTTTGCAATGCGTAGAAAAGTTTGTTTTTTTAAATATGTAATCAACAAAGCCAGTCTGTTTTTGCTGGAAGACATACAAATAAGAGCAGCAAGCTTTCATAAACTATACAGAAATCAGAGAAGTCTTGCCTTCCAAATTTTACAAGACACATGAAAAAGAGATTAAAGTGCCAGAAAAACAAACTCACAATACACTTGAAAGAGATTTTAAACATTAACTACTTTCTACACAAATTAAGTTTCATTACTATGGGTAGTATGATGAACATACTTTCCCTCAGTTCACACAAAATTTTTCTAAAATCCGAGTATTTTACTTTAAAAATAGCTGGAAAAAAAACAATAAACACTTAAAAGTCACCTGCTTTCTTAATACTCCTTAAAAAAATCCTAACATAATAGCATCAGTCTAACTACTTTTCTAAATACACATTAGATGCTCACTCTCACTAAGCCAAAGAATTTAATATTCCTCCAGCCCTTGGCATGTGTGCACATTTCCATTACTGAGATAATTTCATTCGATGACTGAGGATGCTTGAGATGGGCTTCCTTCTGTGAATACTCTCAATGACATTACTCTAAAAAAAAAAAGTGCTGCTCCTCAGAGCCAACTGTACAATTAGAAAGAGCTGAAATTTGGAAGAGGCTCTCACAGAGACCAGTGAGCCATGAACTACTCTTCCAGGGCCCTTCCTGCAGAGAAGACAAATAGACACTTTTCAAAATGGGGAATGAATTTATCAGTACAAGAAACAATTATGAACACAAAGCAGGTTCACCTGGCATCCCAGGCATCCGGGCACATCATGCCCACTTTGCGCTGTTCCACCCTGCTCTCAGTTCTCAACCATGCAGAGCTGTCACAGGGGCTTTTTTCCGCTTCTCCCTCTAGTTAGCATGGAGTGTCAGGGAAGGAGAGTGGACCCAGGGAGGGCTTGTTGTGTGATTGCTAGCATGACTCCTAACAGCAAAGGAAAACTGGTTACACTATCCCTTAAACTCCTCTGCATCACGACCAAATGAGCCCATCTTAAAGACACCCGTGTAGGATCAGTCACCTGAGCATTTCACTGTGGTCCCACAGCTCAGGAACTAGGTCAGCTTCAAATACAGGTGGATAACCTAAAACTAAAGCTTAGAGCAACTCGGCTGCTTGCCAGGCTTCGAAGCACTGGACAACTTGCAGTGTGCTCTAGAATTACTGCCCATTCCCCAGGTCACCAGAACGCACAGGGAATCCTTACTAGGCATCAACACAATCAAGATACTTTCGAAGTGGCCTGTGAAATTATCTACTGGATGTCTGCATGACTGAGTCACGGGCATTCCCAGCTAACAATAATATATTCAGATTTTTTTCTTTTCATGAAAGAATGGGGGATTGATCCTGGAATGTTAGTTATTTTATCTGATAGGCTCTAATGAGCTCAACACAACCAAGAGCGTTTCAGTTAGATGAACTCTGACATCCCTTGTCAGTCACAGATTGTACAAATGGGGGAGAACTACAGGCTGCAAAAAGACCTTTTCATACTGAATTGCAGTTGGCCATTAGTTACAGTCAAAGGACTCCTGATTACATTTTAATCAGAATACCTCTTTGCAGAACTTTCATTTTAACCATCTTGAGCCAACATCCACCTAAATCATCTGAGTTATATAAGGAAAGGTTCACAAACAGAAAAATATTTCTTTGACAACAGTGTATTTAGTGAATTTTAGGTCAGTGGCCATTCTGCTATTTGCAGAAAAACATTTCTGTTTTTTTTTCTTTAGGTTATTACAAAGTGTATTTTCATCTTCCTTCCTGATTCAAGCTTATGAAGTATGGTCTGATGTCAGGGCAGGGCAGAGCTTCACACCAAATGACCCAAATGTGAGCCTTAAACTTCATCCTTGACAGTTCAGCATTGTATAAAATACACATCGTTCAAAATTTCACTGAAGTCCTTTAAACTCACTTTTGCTATTTTTTCCATATTTTGAGACATAATGAATAGACTTACAGATGTGCTAAGATATCCACGTGAAGGCAGGCTAATAGAATAAAACTAATAGAGACTTCGGAAGAAATATGACATGTTATATAAAAATGCTCATAGAATATCCTGTGCATTATTCTTGTCTGTTTTATCTTCCTACAGTCAGAATTATGGAATCATTTTTATGGAAAGTTTGGAAAAAAAAATTAAAACTTGCTAATGAAAAGCATGTACGTGTACATAGTAGTTTTTAAAATTCCTCTAAAATATACATATATTCATTCCAGGTAAGATCTACAGATGGGAAATCATGTTCTGTGTTTCTCCAGGAAATCTGTTTTCCAACAATCCAAATTAGGGAGCTTTGTTTGCGCCACATCTCTGTGTTATTCAAATATCTTTTAATTTCAGGAAATCCAGGATTTCAGGAAGCAACATTTTATTATACCTTTTTTTGGCCAAGCAAAAAAATACAGTTCTATATACAGAAACTATTTATTTTTCTGAGGACAAAGCATTTAGCCACCTAAAATAATAATTTCATTTACACTCCTTTCCTCTCACTTCCTCTAACTTACCAGTAATGTCAGCGTGCATCTGCACAAAGAGGGGGTTCTTGCTCAGCCCACCACACAGGAACAGGGTGTTGATACGATGCCCTGCAGCCTGCATAGTTTCCAAAATATGTCTTGTTCCTAACTTCAAAAAGAGCAGGGAGAGAAAAAAAAAAAACAGCAGATGAGCACAGGAGAGCAGACACAGGCAGAGAATTAAAAGGTGCTTAATGGAATGATAGAAATGCATCCGTATCACTGGACCTAACAGCAACCTGCTGGCTGGGAAGGGGCCTGCAGGATTAGGGCCTCTGAACTAAGCCCTCCGTAGCATAAACGTCCCCATCGAAAACTCCACAGCTGAAAATCAGCCTCAGTACGGAGATTCCCAGCCTGCAGCCAAGCAACAAAATAAAGAAAGAAAAAAAAAGGATAAATGAAAGCTGTATATTTTCTTTGTAGCAAAAAGGGAAACCTGAAGAATTTTGTTGGCTGTTCAAAACAAAATGCTTCATTTCATACCTGGATTAATTGAAATATATCTAAAATATCAGCATTTTTTAAACTCTTTTTTTCAAGTCTACACTTTGATAGAGTCAAATTAGAAAAGTTCAGTGTTCCTTCTGTAAATGATGAAAGCAAATACTCTGCCACTTCTAAGAACTCTTTTCTTTCTGTTTGCTTTTCTTGCATCCAACTATTCACTGAAGTCAACCCCTTCCCTTCTTGCCAGCTCCTTCGACAAACCTTTTATCCCCCAAATTGTCAGCTCTTTATATTCCCTGGACTTCCCTTGGAAGTTCAGACTTGACTATATGCCAAATTTAAGCTAAAATTTTGCCCAAGTTGGCTGTTTTTCATGCAAATGCCCCTCCTCCCCAAACACCATCTGGCCAAAGTTTTCACAAACCATCGTTCAAGTTTTCTTTATCTTGCGCTCCAAGTTCATTAAGAGGTCTCCAGCCTTCAATAAACCCCTCTGCACATGAAGCTACTGAAAATTGAAACGACCAGAGTTTCATCAGACTTGGGATGTTTATTATGAATGCCTGGCACAACTCGGGATAGGCCTTCCAATGTATTTGGTTTTTAAGACGCGCGGCTATGAGGAACTCGAGCAGCCGCAGCACCAGCTGACTAAACCCATCACTTCCCTATTGACACAGAGGGCTAATTTCCAAGTGACAGAGCCGCAATTTTAATTATGGAAAAATAAACTACTCTAAAAAGAGTCTGTCTCCTCAGAATGGGCCTGACGGCCACAATTAGGTCTCTGACCATGTTCTCAGCGCTCTAACTGCTGCATCACATTTTGCAGTGAATAGCTAAAAGGATATTCTCTTTCCTTATTTCTGAAATTCAAATTTATTAGCAACTTCTCGTACAACATACACACTCCTAAGAGCCTGAGAAAGAACATGCTGTGAAAACGGTTTTGTGTTTACCTGCCTGGAAAATTGTATTCACGCTGAAATTTAAATTAAAGCTAGACTTATTTCACTGTGAGTGAGGGGGAACTAATTTAATCCTGGATTGGAGAAAATGCAAATTGAGGGTCTTGAAATGCAAATTTTATATAAAAAGGAAAAAGAGTCTCCTGATGAAAAGAAAACTATGGATTAACATTCTGTGGGTAGGCCTACACTTTTTACAAGGTTTCCAGTTACGTTTAAAGTCTACATTGCATCCATTGAAGACAACTAAGGGTACAGGATTGGGGCTGTCCTGAACAAGATGTGCTTCCTTCCACAAAGCGAAGCTAAAATGTGTCAGGATAAGGGAGGAAAATTAAATATTCTGGGTGTCACACTGTAACTTAGTAAATATATCAAGACAAAAACAAGTCTAGTTCTGCCTACTTTCTAATTACTGTTTCAAAGCCGATTTAAGAAAAATGAATTCCTGCTAATTTGCAATAAAAAGAAAGCTACGCTCTCGTCTTTTATTTTCATCTTGTATCTCATGATGAATACAATCTCCTATCAAAAAGCATATCAGGGCTGAATTTAGTGTTAAATGCAGTATTTGTGGTTCACAACAAAATGACTTGTACCATGCAGTCAGATAATAGGTGACTTTCCCAGGACGTCCAGCAGAGAAGGGTTCCACTTCATTAGCACAAAATAATAACAGAGCACCTGTTTGAGAGTGCAAAGTTTTGTTTCCAGCCTCTTTCAGGAGACGGGAGCAGCGGCTGCCGTTGTTTAAGCCCTCCTAGACATTCTCATTGAAATCGGGGGATTACACCAAAGCATCAGGTATAACCAAGCTACATTCACCTCCAAAAAAGATCAAAACTGACAACAGTGAATTCCAGCCTCGCGCTGAATTATCGCTGTTTGCTGAAGATGGAGGGTTAATACATTAGGCATACGGCTCGCAGTGAATTTACAGCAGCCGCCCACCCTCTATCCCAGATGGCTGACCCAGCCTAGCAGAGACTTTTAGTTGTTGTTTAACTAGTAGAGCAGTTTGGAAGTTTTCCAACTGAACAGAGTTTTGTCAGGAAAAGTTTCCAAATCATCAAACTGTTAACGTTTTTTGAAAACATCTCAAGTTCAACAAACTGAAAAAAAACAAAAATCACAAAAAAAGCTGTCAAGGGAGTGTCAACTTCAGTCATTGGATGTCTGGGGACAGGGTGCACCACTGAAAATACTGTGTGCCAGGGTTTCAAACAGCTTCTCTGACCCCAGATTTCATTTCAAATCAGAATTTCTTGTCAACTGGAAATCCTGGTTCCAGAAAGCCTCTCATTTGAGGAAACCAGGGCAGGAACAAAAGCGTTCCCATAAAATGTCCCACCTATGCGTGCTTGCAAACATCTATGCTGTTTTCATATAGATGGTCTCTGTCCCCTTCAAGCAGCCCAGCTTGGGCAGGCTGTACATGAGGCACCAGGAAGGCCAAGGGATGAACGTGGCCCAGCCCTGCTCAATTTGCAGCGTTAGGAGCGGAGCTGAATCACGGATCCACGCTGACTCGCTGTGGTAGAGAGCCCTGACTCACCTACCAGGCTACGAGGGGAAAACCGTGGTTTTAGGAACAATCTGAAGATGAGGCATTATAGGGGAGACCAAGTTCCTTCATAGCACTGCCAAGGCTTTTCTTATTTCCACTCTCTCAGCTTAACCTCTACCTAGCCCACACTGTTAACACTGCCCCATGCAGTACTAGGCTCTTGCCTCTCATCTGCACTAGAGGCCAAGGCTCTGTTTATAGAATTGCCATAGAGAGAAAACTTTTTAGAAGACATTTTCTCCTCACTCTAGCTTCCCCTTGTCCATTATTTTACAGTAGGGAATAGGTAACAATGTGGGTAAACAATATCTTGTTCCTTTAAGAAGCCTATTAAGTGAATTCATCTATTATTAGAAATCTATTTAGCAGAAGGGAACAATTGGTCTGTCACAGAACATGAGACAATTCATTTATTCTTTTATGCACTTAAAATGGCTTACAGCAATGGCTTGAATCGTGGCCAAGTAGATAAGGGCAAGTTCATCCAGACCCTGAGACAATGTTAGTCCAACAACCTGCATGAAGATCAAAAAGAAAAAGTACCAATTCAGCCAAGGTAAAGCTATTATTTTCTGTGGTTTCTTGTTGTAACAAGTTTAAGCGCTAATTCTAAGCCCTATTTTTGTGGGCTGTACACATAATGTTATGTTAAACATGTTATTCCTGATCCGAGGAAGAGACACATAAATTTATTTTGCCCTTGCAAAGAAATAAAGAACAAACAGCGTATTCTATGGGATTAAAGTTAGATTAGCTCTGACAGTTTTATGTTATGACTCAAATAATGCCTGTGAATGTATTTAATGTAATAGTACAGACATAGTATTACATAAAAATTACATTTTAAAAGCCCTTCTAGTCCTCCTCCTCCTTCCAAGCACCCTTACACCAAAAGACAATTCATAATGAAGGACTATATCTTAATGTCATTTGCTGTGACATAAATTATGCTGAATTAATATCAGCACAGGAAAGACCTAAATGCAGCCATAACTCTGGCAGGAAAGATGCACTGCTATTACCAATATTTGCATAACATCATCATACCAAAGGAAAGTCTGATTCTACTGCAGCAAGTATTTCTTTCATAAAATAAGGCAGCTTTACTTAAGACCCCAAAAATATTTAAGCCTTTTTTTTTTTTTTTAATCTTTCTCTGGTCTATGATTAAACATGCGTTGCAATACTTAAAACTACCATTTTTTACCTCATCTTAAATATAGTACATTTTGGTACTGGTAAGTACCTTGAGATATCCATTCCAAGGACAACATGCCAATTCAAGGTGCATTTCTGCACTAAGTTCCAGATAGTTCATCAAATTATATCATTAAGGTATTCTTCTATCACAGTACTGCATGTGAACAACCTGGCCTGTGTCATGGATCTGTCATCATGACGTTCAAAGAAGAGAAACCTCCAAATGTTTAAATGGGGACTGAAAATCTCACCAGAGGAGGTTGCCTGATGAATGTCCAAAATCTGTTCTTTCTGGTTCTAGATTGTAATGCTGAAACTCATTGTGCTGAAACTCATCCCAAAGGAAATGTAACATTAGGCGGACAGGTGAGTTGAGAGCAACAGCAAGCACTTCTGCTCCGTGCTCTGACATGCAATTCCTGCGAAAGGTACCGGGAGACACACACACCTCCCTGGATTCTTAGAAAACAGATGTGGCGCTAGCACTATCTGAAGTATCCTGGTCTCTGGTTCTCTTCTGAAACATTAGCACGTTTCAAAATACAGCAAGAAACCAAAACCCTCTGGGATAGTTTAAATAGCTAAGGAGAAGTATGTTTAAAATAAAATAAAATAAAAAAGTTCTTTCCAAACTTTTTTTTTTTTTTTTACCCCATATTGACCTCTTTGCAAAGACAGGCTGTTTCTTACCATGCCCTTTAGTGTCAGATCTGTTAAGGGAGATCTGTTACCATGGAAATCTGGCCAAACATGTAAATCAACAGTGAGGAAACCCACAGGCAAAGATTTCTTAATCAGATCCAGGTGACTGTTCAAGTATGTATATATACTTTGAGAACTGGAAGAAAAACAAGTTGGAGAAAAAAGAAGGAGAGGTTATTCGTTAAACTTAGAACACTTGCACCTCTACTACCAAATGCAAAAGATGCATCAAAGAATCCCAAATATAAAACCAAGTGGGAGAAAGATAAAGCCAGAGCGTGCCCAGCACGGGTCATTGCAGAGGGCAGCTCTGCGTTGCACTCAGCAGCCACCCAAAGGCCTGGGCACAGCAGGGTCTGCGGAGACCGTGGAAGCCGACGCTCTCGCGCTTGTGTCCCCAGGGCCCTGCAGGAGCCAAAGCTCTTTGGTATTTTGGGGTTTGACGATGCTTATCTTGAGCAGAAAGCAGGTGCTGAGACTATGAAAGTGACTGCTACAGAGAGGAAAGCCCAGAGAGAGGCTTCCAGAGAGAAATTAAAATAAAATTTCATTACAACACTTTAAGAATTTCTCTGATTAATAAATAATGCTGCACTTTCAGCTTTCTTTTTATAAGCCAGAACTATTTCAGTGCGTGTTATGATGAAAATGCAGCAGTAAGGGCGGAGGAGAGCAAGTGGCTGCTGTTTTAGGGAGGAGCTGAACATGGGCCTAAATATGATTGTATCGAAGCTGAGACACTACACCCATCCCCGCAGCAGCCCCCGGCCTTCTCCCCAGGGCAGCAGGACCTGGGCAGCACTAACAGTGAACAACCCAGTGCTTTGGCTGGCCATGACTTTAGTGACATTCCAGTTTTGAAATGTTGCAATTACAGTCAGAATATTTTTTGCAAACACTCACCCCATCATAAACAGATTCATATATGTATTTCAAATCCTAGGAAATCTCAGAGTGGGGCACTTAATTCCAGACATGTGGGTCAACAATAGCATCTAACTCTAATTACAATTGATTAGTCATTGTCTCATCCACTGTATACCCAAACAGTGATATTCATTTAGCCTCTACATGTATATTCAATCATCCACTAATGAGATCCCTAAGGGAATTTGGCATATGCTTTACTAGTTTGACTCCTGACCTCCTAGCAGCTGTATATTTATACTTTGCATTCAACCATTCAGCTGCATGTTTTTTCAATTATACCTTACCATGTGTATGCTATCAGAGGATATCATTCAAAAGCAAGTACACTTGGAAGACATTAAAATAACTAATTCACATCATTATTCACATACTTTTAAAGGTGCTTTATATGTCTTCTTGGACCTGAATTATCATAATTTGGAAGTTACAGTCATTTTTTTCCCCTCATTTTCATAGTGGACCTATTTCAACATTCCTAAAGACCGTATTATAAACAGTATGCGCTAATGACAAAGTCATTGATTTCCCATCTAAAGCCTGGTTTGATGGTTGGGAAGAAAAAGAGCTGAAAACTCCATTCAATCAGAGGCCGAGCAGACATCCCAGGTTCTATCTGCTCATGCTGCTCATCTCCCAGCAGGGTTTAACCATTCGGGCTGGTCTGACAGAGTCTGAGGACTGTGCAACACAAACTGAAGTCCAGCCAAATCCACTGAAGACCCAGATAACCTTAAAAATACACTTCTCCACACTTTTTTTTTTTTCTTTATACATAAATGTGGGTTATTGGCAAAATCCTCCAAACACTTGCCAGTTCCGATCCCTGCTAGGCCTGTGCTATATGCAGTGTTAAACTACAGGCTCTTTGGAGCCTTTTCTATTCAGTTCTGTGAAAGGGTATCAGTAGCAGCTGGATCTGGCTTGCAGACCTCAATGCAAACTATTGGCATTAAAAAGGAGTTATGCTCAAAGTGGAGAGTAATAAATCAACACAACTTTGCCCAAGGTTATATTTGTATTAAGGACAGTGTTTCAGAAAGCAACAAGATTTTAGTATTTAATTTGTTCAGGAATCTTGAAAGATGCCAGCAGGTATCTTTCAGGAAAAAAAAAAACCTAAATATTTTAGGTTTCTAAATCTTAAAAAAAAAAAGGCCCTAAAAATCTACAGGTGCTAAAAACTCACAAACATTATTATTACCTACTGCTTGAAAGATCCTAGAAGGGATGACAGATATATGTATTTTCCTTTATTGCTGTTTTCCATCTCTTTAGATGGGTAAATAGCATTCAGAAGCAAAGGAAAAGAAATGTTTTCCTAACACACAGCTCTTCACAAAGTGCCGGAGGACACGCAATCTGTGAAGTCCCACAGTTAGACACTTCCCTTCCTCCAGAAGATAAGAAGCTCTGATTCTAGCAACGAAACTTTAGAGCATAAATGATCGTGTTATCTCCTTCTTTTATGTCATACTCTGGCCTACATATCTCGGATTTTACCACATCAGTGATGGCTAGATGTGAGACCTACACAATATAAAGACAGAAGTCCAAACATGCCATCTACACAGCAATTTCTATGACTTGCTCAACTGCATGAAACCAGGTGTCTTGTTCCCCAGAGCATGGCAAGCAGCTAGACCAATGGCTAAGTTTACAGCCATCCAGATGATCCTCATGTAACTCAATCCCCTCCGCTTCCAGTAAAAGCAGTGAAATGGGAACGGGGGGATAGGAGAGCGAGGCTTGCACAAGACTGGCCAGCCTTCAGCGCCAGCGCTCAGGGGCAGCTGGTTTCTAGCAAGCCTGGCTCAGTTGCCTCATGCCCTAACAGGTTACTACAAACCAGCTGAAACACTGGTAACTGCAACCTGCAAATTCCTGTTCCTGGTATATGCAGAGGGGCAAGAGTGTGCACAGTGAGGCTTCTGAGACCAGGAAGGAAAGGAAGAAGGAAAATACACTCAGCTAGTAAGAGATTTGTTTACTAATTTATTACTAAATTTATATTGTGCAAATATTTTGTAAGAAGAATGAAATCTGCAAAATATTATAAAAGCATCATTGAGCCAATGAACTTGATAAAATATCATACGCCTCTTCATCAATACTATTCTCCAGGTAGTAGAGATCTATCCTTAATCCAAGTACACACAGATATATTAGTATGTGTGTGTGTTTGCTTTTAAGAACCACATAAAGAATTCTAGGAATCATGAATCTATTTCATAATTTCATATTGACTGAAGTCCAACAAATTTCTGGGATGCTTGGACCAGACCTCAGCAAGCAAAAGGTATTGGACACTGCAGAGCATGAGAAGGCCATCCAGATAAATCAATTAGCTTTCTGCTTCCAGGGATGGGAAATGTATGGATGGAAAATAATTCTGTGCTCAATGTGTCTGTCAGGAGGGACCTTTGCATTTCAGAACAGAGTGAAGGTAAAATGCTGTTTTTCTTTAATGCAAGGAGAAAAAGAAATCAAAAAAGACAAGCATACTTTCATGCCATGTTCCCAACTCTTCAGCTAAGATTTCTCTGGAAGTGATGTGAACTATCTTAAAAACAATCCCAGCCAAAATAGCTTGGGAAAGTTCAGATCTGAAGGACGTCTCTGGATAGTTTTCATCTCCTTTAAAAGTGGACCAAACTAAAATGTTGAATCGCAAGCAGCTTAGTTCTCAAGGAAGCCTGGAGTTACCTGCAACTCACTCCTACATCTTAAGTTTTTATCTAAAACTTTATCCTGGGTGTCTATGCTCTACTTCTGCTGACACTCGGGAATATTTTTTCCCACAGCAGCTACCTCTTTATTTAGATGACTGTTCCAAATATATTAATTCATATACTTTTAGTATAAGGTATAGTGAGTCCATTCCTGGAGCTTAACAGTACCCCCTCCAAATGAAGACAGATCATTAGGCCAAGGCACACAGGTCTGCTGAACAGGGCTGATGGAAGGGCACCATGAAATACACTGGGCGAGACACAAAAGGAAAGATGACGAGCAGAAAGTGAGTATCACCACTTAGATATACCCCCAAGGTGAATGTTTAAGGGGAGTTCAAAGCTTTGATCTTTCAGCAACCAATTGGGAAGCCTTTGTAAATACTTCAAGTGACTCGAGTGACCAAACTCACTATCAATTTGCTGATTCCCACACTGCAGAATGAGGATACTGCAGGGCTGGAAATGTATAACAGTGTATCATCAATTTCCAAGGCATATGTGTCATAAAAAAATAAGAACAGTGACCTGGCTTTGGCTCTTGCCTGTAATTCTGGGAAAGCGACATGGCCTTGGACCACATGCTCTATCTGAAAAAGAGGAAAGCAACATTATTAGAATGAATACATCTTAAAAACTCAGTCCAAGAAAAGGGTAATGCAGCATTTTAACTTCTAAAAGACATGAGAGCTTCTAAATTGCTCATGAAGTGTCAAGCCCTAGCCCAAAGTAAGGCAAAGACAAAACTTCCGCTGACAGTCCTGGATTCAGAATTTGGCTTAAAAACAGTATAAATAAACGCAATGCTGCACCAAAACTATACATAATACTGAGCATACTCATACTATACATAATAATGAGCATACAGATGCTCAGTCAGAATAGTGAAGAAGAAAAAGAATGGTTCTTGCCTGTCTTACAGTATCTAAATGTACTTCCACTAATCCCTCCCATTCTCTCGCACACATACCTAAACTCCACCGAGAACATCTTCCTGGCCCAATCCCCTACATTTTTCTGAATTACTGTAAAAATAAAATAGCAGGTATGTTGTCATCCTAGTGTATGCTCAATATGTTCACTGCAGGAAACAAAATATTTGCTACAAAAAAAAAAAAAAGCTGTACTAAACTTACATATCAGCCAGTTCTACTGTCACTCACAAAACAGAGCATCATGTAGGATCACAGAGAGTAACTGAGCAGCTTTTGTGGCCTCTTACTAACACCCCATCAAAGGTTATGGCAAAGATAAGGAGGCAAAACTAGAGGTACTTGAAAACACTGAATACACTTGGCAACACCTACTGGCAGTGAGCCACGTTAGGTATTTAATTTTTAACAGTGCGAGTCTGGGCCTTAACAGTGTAGTAAAACTTATATAACAAGGCATGCACATACGAATATAGCAGGAAAACATAATGCATGCTTGTTACCTCTGAGATTTACATCTAAGAGGCTCAAGAATTAGAAAAAAAAAGCTCTGGATTGAATTTTGCAATCTTAAAAAAAATCTCTTTAGAAAGTACTTAAGAACTTATAAATTCAGAAATAAATCCATAAACAAATATGATATATACATGTGTGCTGCGAAAACACTTTACACAAAAATATTATGGCACTTATGAAGTTACATATTTAACATTGAATTCAGGAAATTGGCATCCTAGAACTAGAAAGTTCCCAAACTCTTCTCCTCTCATAAGTTATTCTTTATTTTACTGTTGAGGTAATGCCAGGATCTTAAAATGCCTGCTGCTTTAAAATTACAACTATAATGGATGCAACCTACCCTCCATACCACTGTGCACGTATCCCGTTTTCTCTTCTGGCTCCCCATGTGTTTTGCGTACATATAACCTCAAGAAGACCACATGAAATATTCTGGGGATGTTTTAATAAGACAGCTTCCCTAATATAGCTAATAGCATTTACTGCTGACTTTCGCTATGGGTCCTAACAAGAACATACCTTCAAATGACCCAGGAACATCTTGTTCTCTGGTACTAGGATGGAATCCAAGTATCTGTAATTACTGAAAATCATTTTTTTTAATTGCCTTTCTGAAATGCGTTGACTCTCACAGCACATGTTAAGTGCAGAGCCACCCTGAGCCAGCCAACAAAAGACACTGACCTGCTGCATCCTCTCTAGAGCTTCATGTCTCCATCCACCTTGGATTAAGCACCTAGGGACTTGTCTCAAAAGTGTTCTTAAAAAGAAATGCATGAGATTTTCTCTTTTTCTTTTATAGTGGTGTCATCATGAGCAGAAACTAACTTTTTCTTGGAGTTGTAATCATAAAATAGGACAGTTGGTTGCCTGTAAAATGGGACACTTTGGTTCTAGCCCCATCTTGGCCCAAGGAATTTAAGACCTGCCCATCCCGCCTGCTGGGAGGGTCCTTCAGCCATAGGGCTGTGGAGAGGCTGGAGATGGGATGAGAGGTGGTGGCTGCAGGAGCGGAAGAGGGATGAGTATCCCATGGAAGCAGGCAGGAACGTAAGATCCACGTGGCCAAGGACAGAGCGCAGGAAGGAGCACCAGTTCCTAGCTCCATGCTGAGGGTGTGACTGGGCTTCCTGTCCTAGGGTAATTTCTGTTTCTCCCTTGGTGACTGTTTCACATGGAATGCACCAATGCAGTGATGCCCAAATGTACTATTTCCTGGGCAAGTGCTCCAACCACTAAGCTTTTAAAGAGGTGGGTGGTGCCCCATCTGAGTAAGACAGCAATTATGCCTGCAATTTTTGAGAGGCCTAACCCACCTGCCTGCCTGGTGAGGACACCTGCAGGACTGGGCCTGCTCCCCTCTGCTCAGGGCAGGGCAGCTCTGCATTCGAACACACGGAGCAGGGAGACACGGGGAGCTGCAGAAGCTTCCAGGGTTAAGCAAACACTGAGGTCTTGATCACACTTTTGGATCTAAGCACCTGAAGTCTGACTAAACACTGCTCCATACAGCTCCTCTTTCTTTAAATTTGATTTAAGCATTTTTTATCTGAGTACTTTACTGTAGGTAAGAAAAGTCAACTTTAGAGGATCCAGTCCTTTATGTGTACTGATAGATTAAATTAATGCAATACAGTCAGACTAAGATGACAATATATTCAGGCCCTCTATAGACAGGATAACATACTAATACCTTACTATTCTATGCACAGCATGCCTTTCACTTACTTATGCACACAGTTCTTCCACATACCACAAATTATATGTATTTTTTATACCAACATCTGTCTCAGCCTGCTATTAAATCACAAAAAGAAAGCCTATTCACTTGCAAAACAGTAACAGCAACAATAATACTAGGTAGACATGTCCTTGGTGCTCTGCCTCATCTACAATCCCCTCTGAGTAGGAAAAGGAACAGAGTGTACGGGACACAGCAAACAAGTAACTCTTATTGCTTTCCACTGGATGATTTCTTCCATGATTTTATGAAGATGTTTCAAGCAGAGCTCTGGTTGAACCACAGTTAGGACAAGCCTGCCTTCCTGGAGTCCCTTTGCATCTCCAAACACTTACCAGCTTTCCTGTAGCACTTTGACCTCCTTCATTCAACCAAAACCCAGGCACCATAGCAGAGAAGTAAGGTCCCCAAACACCAGGCACAAAAATGGGCGTTTGGCTTATCTGGAAAAATAAGAGAAAGCTCTAGTGACTCAATTTGCCTGTCAAACTAGGTACTTCACAGTCAGTCTTTGGCAGCTGTCAGAGTCCAATACTGAGGAAAATTTCTGCTTCTCCATTGGAGCTACCAGCATGACTGGAGATGTGGTAGAGATTTACCCCATGGAGCATGTGGAGAAATATGTCCCCCAACTTGCGGCATTTTCAGACTATGTGACACAGCTGCAGTTGCTGGTTGCACTACCTATTCACCCCACCACCCAAACAACTGGATCTGGCCATGTGGAAGAGTAAGTTCTTTTGGGGATAGGAACTGTAGTCCATATGGAAAGAGAAACTATCCTGCTCATCAGAAGGAAAAAAAAATACACACCTTAATTCAAAGAAGCACTTGGTGTGCAAGTAGACGCTGCAGACACGGGCTGGGTGAAAGGGGAATTTCTTACGTTAGTTAACAGGAAACACTCATCTGGGTGAACTTCTGATTCTGTCCCATACTGGGGTTTAACCTGATGCAAAACACTTCCCCCTTCACACGTGTGAACCCTTTTGTGAGGGTGGGTACCGAAGCACTCGCTTTCAGAAGCTATATTGCATTCCACTGTAGGCATTCAGATATACCACCCACAAACTCAGTGATGTCCTGCTTCTATGCAGTATTTCAGTGGTTAGACCACTCAGGATGTGGGAGATACTGGTTCATTTCCTTACTCTTCTACAGAAGAAGCAAATTCTGAGTTTATAGGGGTGGAGGGGACTCTTCCTTCCTCCTATTAAAGCTACTTCACTTTCTCTGCTCCAGGCCAGAAAGACAGTGTAAGGAGGCATCATATCTAGTCCCGCAAATAAGGCACAGAACAGGGCAGATAAAAGTGGGAGAACTGAGGTTCTAGTACTTGCTACAAAGCCCATTTATGGGTTCTGCATTGGTAATACATTAATAATTCTTGCTGCAGAGGCAAGAGGTCAGGATACTTGGCTTCTTTTTGAAGCATAATTCATGTTCCATCTTCCAGGACTAAGGAGCTCGATACATTTAAGGTATGCACATCCATGATCTTCCTGGGAAAGTCATACGGCAGCAGAGTCCCACACTGCCACATGATACATGAATACGCTTCCCACCAGCCAATGTTTATGGGAAAGCTGGATCTGCAACTGTTGTTCTCCAGAAGGTGGGAAGCACTCCAAGAGGAGGAAACTCGCCTAATGTAACAACATTAGTCTATGTATTCTCAACATAGGAATTCCAGGAAGGCTGGTGTGGATTTAAATTTCCTCAGCAAAAAGAAGCGTCTCAGTAAACAAGACTTTTTTTTTTTTTTATTTACACATTGCTCTACATGAGCAAAATTCTAGATCCACTGAGGTTGCTTAAGGTTTGCTGTTGATTTCAGTAAGGCCAGGATTTCACCTCAAAATTGTTTTTATTAGTATAATTACTAGTGTAATTATAAATATTAATAATAATTATAAATCCAACCTCTGCTCCTCTTAAACTCAACGCATGTTCTCCCTATATTTAAACAGGCAAGCTTTAAAGCACTTTTGCTATCAACTAGGGCATGTGCTCTAAGACACAGTTTACTGGCATTTGTGCATCACACATGTTTAGTAAATAAAGCAGCAGGGAGGTTTCTGCACAAACAATAGTCTGCTGAAGCCATCAACTTACATTGCAGCTGATTCCTGTCAGGAACATGAAGTTAAGAAGCAAAACAAAGCAACAAAACTGTTTTCTCAAAATACATCGCTACAGTTTCAAGCAACCCTGATTTCTCTTAGGAATACATCTCTCAAGTAAAAGAATCTTGCTCAATTCCCTCTATCAGCTCTAATGTGCTGACTTACTTTCACTAAAGATGTTTGCGTGCGTGCACAAGCATCTCTGTGCCTGCGTAAGGGTTTGGCCGACCAAACCCATTAAAGTGCAAGAATAGCTGCACTGAATTTAAACTGGCATTTATGACTCCAAGTGGACAAAGCTGCGTCAAAAACATTGCAAAGACATTTGGTCTTGCTTTGTTTTCTCTTAAAACTACAAATTAATATATCTTCGAGTTTTCAACACCTCTATGAGGCAAGCCTTCTTTTACGATTTTAATAAATAAAAGCACAGGAACAGAAAGTATTGATTAAATGCTCCTAAAATTTAAAAACTTAAAATAACTTGCTTTTTTGACGAATTCTACAGCACTGACCTTACTGAGAACACAGTAGTGTGCCAAGATTCCCAAGATACCTGCTCCAAAGTAGTGATGGAAATCAGAAAACAAGCCATGTCCCCTCTCATTCTTTCCTTTAGCTTTGGAAAAGCACACATTTCTCTAAAGGTGAGAAAGGACCCTTATTCCAGGATGGGCCTGCATTTTTGAAATCTCATCTCACAATATTTTCAGTGAAGCAACGTTTGCAGCACTCTGCTGTGACCTGTGGTTAAAGAGTATGCACGTGTGTTAAGCCTAAAAGCACAGAGCTGTGCCCAGCAGCTAAGAAGTCTGAAAAGACCAGATAGGCTAAAGAGAGTCAAGGTACAACATCCTCTGTCCCAAATGCTTTATGAATGCATGGAAAGTTCTAAACATCAAAAATAACAATACAGTAAAAACTTTAAGGCATTATTCCACTATACTCCAAATTGCCCTGTATCTCTGCTAACACTCAAAGCTGCAGATTGATTTGAAGACCAAACTCTTCCTGGACCCTGTTCTTCTGGCTCAGTATTTTGGACACCGACTGGAATTTGCCAGGACAGGATATTTTCAGGTTGGCTCTTATCAAGTTACACTGAAACTTTCCTATCATCTTACCACTGAAGCACCATTTGCACACATTCCAACAAACTTTCAACACATGAACAGTGCAAACAAGGGAGTTATCTCCACATAGCCAGTGGGGTGCTACATTACCTTTTTTTCTGCTGTGGGAGATCTCAGTTGGAATAAAATACACTGGTAATCATGCTGGGTTGGGGCTGTATATGGGATCATCATATTTTCTATTTCTCTCTTCCACTTAAAAGTTTAGTTTACTTTTTGCAGACTCAAAGATATGCAGCTTAACTGCAAATTGTAATGTGCATGGAAAGTAAGAAAAACAGGAAGTAACAAAACTGCCCCAAACGTGCACAATTTCTTTGCAAAGCACTGAGGTGAACTCTCTTCCACAGATGTATAAGAGACAGCAAATGGTTTCCATTTCCTCTCCTTGAAATAACGTGGGTGATCCTTAGGTTCTCCAGCCTATGCAGCAAATAGCATCTGCATTTTCACAGTCCAAATTCATCCTCAAATCCTGTTTTACTACATGTATCACTCGGTCCCTCCAGAACACGTGACTACACACAGGTGTGGGGCTGGGGAAACGGTGCAAGGTTTGCTGTAGGACCCAGAAGGTAAGAGCCCTTGGCCAGACTCCGAGTTATTTCTTTTACACTACATCACACCCTTTTCATAGTTTTCTCTTGCCTTCAGACACTCTTAGGATGATATAGATGGATCAATGTACTGTCATTGCTGTGCCATTAATGAAGGTTAAGAAAACTCTTAATCTTTTTTAGCAAAAAAACAACATCTGTTTTAGGTTTATGGGCAGTTTTTTTTTTTTTTTTAAAGCAGGTAAGAGATGTCATCCTTCCTTGAAAGTCGAAATAAATATTCAAAAGGAACATTGTATTTTCTACCTTCTATTTAATTTAAAGCCATTCTCTAACAAACCCTTACTGTGAGGCACATTAACACTGATTATTTTTTTACACAAGGAGAAATCGAAGCACAAAGAGGGTAAAGCTGCACACCCTGATGTGCAGAGAGCATCAGTTAGAAGGCTCTCTGCACAGGTATTTGAACATGGGAGATGAGAGGAATTTGAACCAATTCACGTTTTGAGTTGTAACAAGCATCTATAAATATTTAAGTTAAACATACTCACACAGACTATTGCCTGCTTTATGATGATTTCTAACAGAAAGATTATATATTTTGAAGAGCATCTACCACATGATATTCTGCCTGTGGATGAGGAAGAATTCTTTTGTGCAGGAAAATATCACCTTTCCATATCTCCCTAATGTGAACATTTCTACTTGCTCAGACCATCAATTCTGACAATTCTAAGATTGGGTTCATCAGAAGGGGAAAAAAGCTGAAGGAGATGTTTCAACATCTCCTGAAAGGGAGAAAAAAGGGGAAAAAAGTTCTATCTGGGAGGATTTAACCTCATTGTGTGCTCTATAAAAGATCGTTCTAATATGTAAGATATGTAAACACTATAGAGCAATCAGAAACAAATTAAATGACGAATTTAGTTTAACAGTATTCAGCTGTGGTGCAATTGCCAGAAGGCACTTTTTGTTATGAATAGATCATTTGGATGAGTTACAGACCAGATTTCAATCCTGGCGTGTGCTAGGAAAATCAATGTCAAACTATCTAAGATCAGAAGGTAGCAGCAGCACATCTGGCAGCCCACAGAAATGAAAAATGTCCTTAAAATATATAATGCTATATAGAACTAAGCTCTAGTATGAAAGGACCTGCTTAAATGCACTAATAAGAGATCTGTAGTGTATTTAGTTTAGTTTAGTCTTTCCCACTCGCCTCTCCCTCTAAAACAAGAGCAGACAAAAACAATCCACCTCCATTGCAGAAGTTTATGTGGAAAAAAGCACTACTTACCAATTATAGTTGCAGGGTAGCTTACAACTAATGTAAGTGAATCAAAGGCGTCAGTGCCTTTAATGCAAACTAAATTGAGTTTTCAGGACTGGTACAAGGAATGGTAAATAACACAGACCTTCAAAGAGGAGAAGCATCTAGATATATAGGCATTCCATAGAGTAAGTCACAATGCAAGATTTATTTAATTTAGCTCTGGCTTGCTAGACTAGCCATATGATCTCCTCAGTGTTTCCTCCTCAGTTTTATGTATATATTACAGTAATCAGAGACAAGATAAAACAAAACAGGCCACACTGTTGAGAGCAGTTTTATGGAAGCATGGAT